GATCACTCTTACCCATCAGGCTGCTATGCAATAATCTCTCACCCATTTCCTGTTCCTTTCCCCAAACTGAAATATGGAGATTACGCTTGGTATCAACTCTCATGTGATGCCAATGGATCCCATAAGAGGATCCCACCTTGTCAAGAGCTGTGTAATTTTCTGGGTTACAGGTGAGTGGCACACAAGGGAGAAAAGTAAGAAGTTTGCACAAAGATGACCTCAGATGTTTATTTTGTCTAGAACATAAGGTCCAATTTTCTGAATAGACCAACCATTGGAGGAGATGGTGTTCTGCTCTGCTGCTATCTGTACTGAGACCAGGGGTCCATGGAAGTGAGGGGAGGTAGGAAGTCCAGGAAGTATGGGAACAGTGTGGGCTGCAGGAGGGAATTTGTTGCTCCATCAGGTAGTAGACAGATTTTGATTCCTATAATAAAGAGAAGAACAAGCCTTCCCACTGAGAAGGTGGAGAGCTGAAAAAGGAGAGGAACTCCTGTCTCTAACTGCAGTCCTTTGAATTCCCACTAATTACTCCCTCATCTTCATACCAATTTGCCTTTTATTACCCCAGCCCTAGAGATCCCACTGTTTTTTCCCTATTTTCTTCTCCATAGCCTCAGAACTTACTTACCATTGCACATTTGAGCATTGCACATACCATGAAGGTATCTCCAGCAATTTCTGAGTGAACTTGTTGGTGCACAGTATGTTATTTTTGTTTCTTTTACTTAGAATTGCCTTATTACTTGGTGGTGTCGTGCGCAGGAAAATGCCTGTTTTTTGTGAGAACATCCGGTCACAAATGAAGCTCCACACATAGAAAATGAGTCACTAGAATCCCAAATCTAAGAGAGTATGTGGAGAGCTAATACTTGTCCTTTGCCAATGTTTTTCATAGGGTGAGGTGAAACTGTCATCTAGTGGTCATAATAGGCATTCCAGAATTACATTTTCATTTGGATATAGCTGGAATGTTTCTTATCCCCAGGATGTATCATCTGAAAATACTAAGCTAAAAAAAATATTAAATACATATATCCGAGAGACTTTGAGGAGAAGGGAAAAACCCCAGAATCTTTGATCGAGAATAAACACATTTATAATTTCATGTAGCAAAGCTGTGAACTCCCTTTTTCCTCTCTCTCCCACAATTTACCACAGTGACATATCAGCTTCTGCCTTACTGAAGGGTTGTGGGAGGCTGAAGATCAAGATAACTGGAGCTAAAATAGGGCATAAAAAGAAGTTCTCTTGTTAGGTACATTCATTTTACTTGTCAGCCTCAATTTCAAATTTCTGGTAAAAAATAGTTGCAACACTTCATCCTAATTCATCCTAGAAGGTCAAGTTTGTTACTGCATCAGTGAAATGCCAGTGTTTTCAGTTGGACAAGCACAGATTGTAAGGGAGAATAGTCTTCAGGTGTAGATCTTCTGTTGTCCATTGACTCCAGCAAGTTGTAGTAAACCTGAAGGGTTATACCAAGAAACAACAGGCACCACGAGTGAGCACAGCCTCAGGCTTCTAGATCTTTGAGTACAGACCTCTTTTTCATATAAAAGGTACTCTGCAGCAAGTATATTGATAATCAGAAGAGAGCTGACTGATTGGTAAAGCTAATACTAACATCTAGACAATAATAACTGGCGTTCAGAGAATAAATGTGAAAAACAGAAGGTACACAGTGTAATAAGAATACGCTCTTACAAAGAGGAAAACTGGCAGAGCAAAGTGCATTGTTACGAATTTGATGACTTGGGCTAGGATATTGCTACATAGTGTTAGCATCTGCCACTAGAATCTGTGATACTGTGGGCAGGAGCGGGTGTGATTCTGTTTTTTTGAGAGATTCATGTGTACTGATCAGTGAGGAAGCTTTTGTGCAAGCCATACCTCCTGGAACAAAATGACTAATATAATAGCAAACAAACTTCCTATCTAGCTCAGTTTGCAGATTATATGTATTGTTTGTATTTTTACAAGGTGTTGAAGCCCCAGTTTTGGATTAGGATCCCTCTATTCAAGGTGCTTGCAAATTCAGAACCTCAAGATGTCATCTGCCTTGTAATGCCTACAGTTTTAAGTATAAATTGAGGGGCAATGGTGACAGAGGCAGATGATGGGGACCATAAGGGAATTACAAGACAATCTGACCTATGTAATTAGCAGCAATTCCAGTATGTCCACACCCGAAAGAAATGTCATTTTTATTGTACAGGTGTCATTGCGGAAGTTAAGCAGAGACATTGAAGAAAAAGGATGGGCTACTTTTCTGCATGTTTATGCAGTTTCCTTCTGAGGAGTGTCCAATCTGAGGTAAATGAAAAAACGCACAAGATGAATTATTTTTAAACTTAACATGTGACCAAAGATATGTGGAATCTTTAGTCCATCAGAGAGAAATGGTTTTTCAATAGTGAATGCAAGGGAGAGCAAGTTAGGTTAGGAAGCCTTTCTTACATATTCACTAGTGAAGTATATTCAGTACTGAAAATTCTTTGCTCAGTACTTTCTGTGAATAGGTTTTGGACTGACTGCATACCTTCTTAATCTGCAAATGTATTTTTGGAGCTTTCTTTCTAGTTATGACTAAATGCATTGCCTATTTTTCTTTCCCTACCAGTATGAATCAGTTTTTAATCTGCTTGTAAAGAATTTACTCTTTTTAAAAAAATTTCTTTTAGTAAATGTTTTTTGAATAATATTTCTTTAGCATTCCCTTGCCAATACATTCATTCTCTAGATTTGTACGAGGAAGTCCCTGCTACATCTAGAGGCAGGTGACTGTGTCAATGTTCACGTGAAAGTCATGCAGCTCTAATGTGAAACTTAAATTTCTAGTGCCAATAGGATGAAAATTGAAGATACTGAAATAATTTTAATTCATAACTGGAAGTAAACTGGACCGAACTACAGAGCAGTCACACGCTGAACCAGGAGGTCTGTGATGGGCAGCAGGATTACAAACTAGACTGTAAGTAGCAAACCAAAAATATGAGTAGGTGATACCGGCAGGAGAATGTAGTTGTGAGTTCTGAAACCTGCTGGGATGCAGAGACAGGGTAATATCTGAAACACCACTTTGAATGGATTTTGTTGTTAGGAAGTTGTTTGAAGCAGGGAATTGATGATACAATGATTCTTCTGCTAAAATTTGCAATATAATGAAATCATACATATTGCTGTAATGGGTAATGAAGGGCTTGACTTTGTTCCCATGAATTTCCGATTAGAAAGGCACAGAAATTGATATATGCACAGAAGCCATGTTCAGTCTCAGGATTTGTAGTGCATCTATGTTTTAGCACTGCCAGTGCCGTCGTAAAGAATAGGCCCTTGGTCTGAAGGATGCCTGCTGTGCTCCAGTGAACAGTTGCTCTCTGGATGCACAGCAGTACAGACTCTGCTAGCTTGCTGTGCATGTGAGCTCAGTGCTCAGGACTCTCTGTAGTCACAAAATAACCATGATTATTAACTGTCTGATTAGAGCAGGAATGACTGTTGTAAACTGTTAAGAGATTACAATGTGTGCGTGAAGATAAAATATAGCAGTAAAAATGGGAGATACAAATCAAGCAGAATTAAATGTTGCAACAAGAGATAGCATTGGTAAATGTGGTTAAAGCCAAAACATTTCTTTATGGGAGGAGCTGAAAAGCTGCTGACTTTCTTCCTGTGACTCCGCAACACGCTGGGGAGCTTAGAGGGTATGCTTGCCTGATGGCTAAGAGGTAATTAACACAGCACTTTGCATGGAGGGTGGGTGCAGCACAATACCAGCGTATTGCAAAGAAATAGCAAGTACCTTGATGTGGAAGTGCAGAGAGAGACTTTCTGCTCTAGACCTTCTGCGCTGCTAGGAACAAAGAGCATATTTGTATATGTGTGTTTACATAAGACTCTTAATATATTATTTATCACAGTCACAAACTAAAATGCTGTTGTCTGCCAACTTACTGCAGAGGATCTGGCTACATCCGTGGCTATGCTAATCGGTTAGGCACAGAAACTGTTGTCTTCCTGCCTTCATCAAAGGGCAGGATTAGCTGCTGTGCTGGCTGCTTTGGGCCTCATGTCAGAAGACCTACATGCCATCATCAACAGCCTACATGACTTTTGACTTGAAGTGCCCATAGCAGGCCTGAATGTGGAACAAGGTAGAGGATGAAAAAAATAATTAACAAGTTAGCGACTTAGCAATGGCCAGGTATGGAACATACATGATTTAGTCGATTTAGTCCAGCATAATAGGTCTGTAAAGGATCAGAAAAGCTAGACAGCAGGTTAGCAGGTATTATACTTCTGCAAATATAATATATTGCATATAAACCTTCAAGAGCTGCTGTTTCATAGGAAGAACCCCACCTTATAGACACTGAACAACATAAATGACCTTCCAGTCCACAGAAAAATAGTCTAAGAAATGATGGCACTGTTTTTGGCAGGGAAGAAAGATCATTGGACAGTATTACAATATTTTGAGTGGGCAATTTCAGAGGTTTATGACTGATTTGACTTGCTCTCTTCTTTGGTAAGTCACTGGAAACTGAGATTCCTTCAAAACTTTCTGTTTGTAGCTGACTGATATTCAGATTTGCACCCTTCCATTCCAAAATGACAGAAACACTGGAAGGCAATACTTGCCTGCAGAGAGTGCCTGGACAAAAGTGGCTGTTACATTGCTGATAGAATGAGAATAACCAGTTGTAGGAATTTACATGAGTAATACATCTAGGAACTGAAATCAATTTAGAAGTCTGTTTTCCAAACATTGGATCATAGCCCTTGAGAGGCCTTCTCAAAAGAAAGTTCTCAATGTGTGGCAAAGACATTTATATTGTGTAAAGGAAAAATCTCATTTTTCTGATCCTACCATCAGACCAAGTAACCAGTCAGTCTTCTAAAATACTGAAATAAGAGGTAGTAAGCAGAGGTTTACAAATGGATTTCTTTACTCTTCATACTTTAGTAAGGCATCAATCAAAAAATTTGAGAACTGCTAGTATGTAGAGGAAAATTTATTTGACTTATTCCCAAAGGATATTTTGGGAAAGTGAGAAGTCACCTCAACATGAGACACATTAGGATGTATAAGCTAATTTACATACAAAAAGTGAACTTGCAAGTATATTTTAAAAAATATCAATAAAACATCTAGGTAGTAAAATAAATATGACTAAAATTAGCAAAAATTTTATCCTTTTTGTACAATATTGCACAATGATAGAAGACATATTTTAACTTGTTTCATTTTGTGAAATATTTTATGTTTGCTTCTGTAACAACTAGCTTGCCAAATTTGAGTAACAATTATTTTACAGTGTCTTAATGCCAGTACTCTTAAGAAAGTGAGGAATACCATATCTTCAGAGAATCTTATGGAAAAGTAACCATAACAATAATCTGAAATACAAAATGAACACATTTAGTGAAAATACTGAATATGAACTTAACAAATAAATTTATCATGAATTATTACAGGAATCTGACCCCTACCCATCAATAAGCCCTGATGTTATCCATCCAAGGGTGTTATGGGAGCTGGCTGATGTCATTATGAGGCCACTCTCTATAATCTTCGAGAAGTCGTGGAGATCAGGGGATGTCCCAGAAGACTGAAAGAAGGCTAATATCACCCATATCTACCAGAAGAGCTTAAAGAAGGATCCAGGAAATTATAGGCCAATCAGTTTTACTTCAGTCTGTGGGAAAGTTATGGAATGAATCCTCCTGGGGACTATCACAAATCAAATGTAGCACATGATTGGGAAAAGGCAGCATGGATTCGCCAAGGGCAAATTGAGCTTGACAAACCTGATTGCCTTCTATGACAAAGTAACTTGCTTGGTTGATGTGGGGTGACTGGTGGACACATATACCTGGATTTCTCCAATGCTTTTGATGTGGTTCCCCACAGCCTCCTCCTAGAGAAACTGTTGTGTTATAGTGTGGTGGGTGGGGAACTGACTGCCAGGCCACACTTAAAGGGTAGTGATAAATAACTCCTTTTCAGACTGGTAACCTGTCACAAGTGGGGTCCCCCAGGAATTGATACTGGGCCCAATGCCGTTTAATATCTTCATAAATGATCTGGATGATGGAATCAAGTGTACCCTGATAAATTTTGCTGATGATAAGAAACTGAGTGGGAAAGTGGATAAGTGGGTACTTTGGAAGGGAGAGCCACCCTGTGGGAAGACCTGGGTAGGCTGGAAGAGAGGGCTAACAAGAACCTTATGGAGTTCAACAAGGACAAGTGTAAGGTCTTGCACCTGGGAACACATAATCCAGGAGTGCAGCATCGGCTGGGATCTACTCGGCTGGGGAGCAGCTCTGTGGAAAGGGACCTGGGGGTCTGGTGGACAACGAGCTCAATATGAGTGAACAGTGAGCTGCTCTGGCAAAGCAAACCAACAGGGTGCTGGGCTGCCTTAACACGGGCATCACCAGCAGAGATACAGAAGTCATTATCCCACTCTCCTCAGCACTTGTGAGGTCACATCTGGAATACTGTGTTCAGTTTTGGTCCCCGCTATGCAAAAAAGATGTGGACAGACTGGAGAGGGTCCAGAGAAGGGCCACAAAGATGATCAAAGGACTGGGAAAGCTGCCATATGAGGAAGGCTGAGACAATTGGGTTAGTTCAGCCTTAGCATAGTAGGTTTAGGGTAGATCTTATCACCATGTTCCAGTATTTAAAGGATGGCTACAAAGATGAAGGAGACTCCCTTTTTAAAAGGAGTCACATGGAAAAGATGAGGGCTAATGTGTACAAGTTACTCATGGGGAGATTCCAATTGGACACAAGAGAAAAATTTTCACAGTGAGAATAATCAGCCATTAGAATAATCTCCCCAGGGAAGTGGTGAATTCCCCAACACTGGACACTTTTAAGATTTGGTGGGACGGGGTGCTGGGCCACCTTGTCTAGACTGGGCTTTTGCCAAGAGAGTTTGGACAAGATGATTCTTGAGGTCCCTTCCAACCTGGTATTCTATGATTCTATCCTAGTGAAGTTCTCTTCTTTAGTGGATGACCTTCTAAATTCATCACTCATTTCCATTTTCAGAACTGCAGGATTAAAGGTCTTTTATATCAATATATTCCACCATTTGACCTATTCTGTGATGATCAGTACTCAGACCACTATCTTAGTAATTTGTGAATTAGAAAAAGTGGCTGTTGATTGAAGAGTGTTTCATTTTAGTTCAGACATAACACTCCTCCCATCTCCCAAATGTGTGCAATATAGTGTCAAGTGCATTGAAGTAATGCCTAGAAGTGACTGACAAAACTAGAATCTCCAAGGCAAGAACAGCAAAGAGAAGATTAATCACACCAGCTTTTCCAGCAGAAACTACAGCATGGGGTCAGTCACATTTTCCCAAGGAATAACAGAAAACATGTTTCCTTTCCCAAGGAAGAAGGCAAAACAGGGGAAAAAAGAACTATACAGTCTCATCAGCGATCACAGGTGTTTGAACAAACCTAGAGAGCTATGTAGCCCCTAAGTCTGAAGAAATTCTCTAAGAAGTTTCTTTCTATAACCAGTCTTTTATAAAGTGTCTTTCTCCCTTTCCAGTGTTGTTGAATCACTCCTGTTGCTGGCGACAGTCCTTGTAGAAGATTCTGTCACACTGTCAGATCAGACACTGAGTTGTAAATTGCATTTTCCTTCTGCACATAAGTAGTATAAGGTTCCACTTCCATTGTGTCATCCTAGCAAAACAAAACCAAAAACTGTGAATGCAAGTAGTAGTTTAGTTTGGCAAGACTCTGCTGCCTTTGATCTGAACTGAAGAACGTAACCAGGAAATACTGCTACCATATTTATTCCTCTTGGAGTCAAGGAAAAAACTTATTGCTATTTCTACCAAAGAACATGTATTGCTGTTTCTGTCAAATATCTGGAGCCTAAAGCTGAGGTGTTGGTTCATCTGCCTCCTTTTCCTGCCCTTCTACCCCACTTATTTTGGCCTGAAAAAAAATGTATTAGGGTCTAATACTCTAGAAGGAGCAAAAATATGCTAGAGTCTTGACCAAGATTGATTCCTCCATTAGTTTACAATTTTTGCCTACAAACACACTGATGAAAGCTGTGTAATATGACAGCAAGAACACTGGTTCTTAACCCATTATTTTACATTAATGCAACTGCATCTGTCAGCAACAACTGGGAGACAGAGCAGGAGGAATAATAACTAGAATTGACTAAGTCTTTTCAGAAATCAAAACTGAAGCACCTTTTTAAGTTGACAACAGAATTTGAACTTGGTGTCTGCTGTAGGTGCACAGATATTCACAAGATAGATGTAATAAATCTTGCCTGCATAGAAATGCTGGTATTTATGTTTGGTAGCAGAGAATAGGGGCACAGAGCCAATGAGTGAATTGCTCAGCTACACAGAAAGCTTGTAATAGCATAGGGAATTCAGGAACCTCACAGCTTGCAGCTCAGCACTGCTTCCGTTGTTTTAGAAAATGTTTTGTCTTCAGTATGGTTGGTCCTTGATTGTGGATTGACCATACAAGATGACGAGTGGCCTTCAAAATTTGCACATCTTCATTCTGGACATCATGAGGAATATTCTTTTTTTCTCTGTGTCTGTTAATTTTGTTATTTAATCCTCTTGTTTACTAAGAGCTTTCTTAATATTCCCTAACCCCTGACAATGCAGTATCCTTCCTAAGTATTGTTTGTACAGTAGTTGTGGTCAGTGTATCTGATACCAGCAGGGAGATTTGGTGGAACTCACTCCTTGCTAAGATAAAGGATGGCAGTTGCTGAGCATTTGCTGTTGGAACATACCTCTAATGTTTGCTCCAAGTCAGAATTATGGTGATCATAGGCTTTGTTTTGTCCTGAGATACAGCTAAGAGCAAATATACAATTTGCAGTCCTGAGTAACATGATCTGACAAGCTCTAGGCAATCCTGCTTTAGCAGGGGAGTTGGACTAGATGATCTCTATGGTCTCTTCCAACTCTAAAAATTCAGTGAAATTCAGTGAAATACAAGACACAAGCACCTGCTGAAAGCAGAGTGTAAAAATCTAATAGTTTCCCTTTACTGACTATGATTTCAGGGCTACCAAAAGATCCCTGATTTGGTGATGGTCTAATTTGTATAATTCTCCTTACCTGTGGGGAATGTGTAAGAGCAGTCTCAGGAGGTCTGGTTTTGTGGCACAGTCTGTGAAAAAGAAGACGAGTATGAAAGCTACTTCCTTTCTCAGTACTAGGTTTGGCTGGATCCCAGCCTGGTTTCTTTGGCCACAATCCTATGAACCTTTTTTTTTGTCATCAGGAGTAAAGCCAAAAAGCCTTCTCATGTCTCTCTCTCTCCTTGACTTTTGGTCCTTTTTGTGGCTTCAGTTGAGATAGAGTTAAATAGTGTCGATGGTGCACTGGGGGTTTTGGTTGTAGCTAAGCAGTCAAGGCCTTTTCTGTTTCTCCTGCCACCCACCAGTGAGTAGGCTGGGAGTGCACAAGAAGCTGGGAGGAAATACAGCTGAACAGAAGACCCCAACTGATCAAAGGGCTATTCTATGCCATGCAATGTCATGCTAAGTGTATAAAGTTGGGGGAAGAAGAAAGGGGAGATGTTCGGAGTGATGGCATTTGTCTTCCCAAGTAACCATTATGTGTGGTAGAGCCCTGCTTTCCTCATCATGATTGAACACCTGCCTGCCGATGGGAAGCAGTGAATGAAGTGAATGAATTACTTGTTTTGTTTTGCTTGCATGCATGGCTTTTGCTCTAACCCATTAAACTGTCTTTATCTTAACCCATGAGGTTTTCCTCACTTTTTCTGTTCTGATTCTCTCCACCATCCCAACTTGGGGTGTGAGCGAGCAGCTGCATGACCCTAGTTGCCAGCTGGGGTTAAACCATGACAATCTTGAAATTATGAGACCCTGTCTTTCTTTAAAGGTCTTTTCTTATGTGGGAGCTTAAGCACAAAGTGGAAGCAGAAGATTGAAATGAAATCTCTCTGGAAGGACGTATGATTTGCAGCTAGAAAAATTGTATTGAACCAATTCTTCACCTCTGAGGTAGAAGGTTTGGGAGATAATCACTTTTGGAAAAGAGGAAGGAGGGAACATAGCTGAGGTTTCAATACAGGTGCTATCTGAAGAACAGCTTTATGCTCCCAGTTTCCTATTAAAAGGAAGAGCTCCCTTTTAGTGTGGTAGGCAATGCAGTGAGGATCCTCTACCAGCTTCTGCCCATTTATATTTCACTCAGGTGCATTATGCAGTGAAGATATGCGCAATGCACAGTGTCTACAGTACAGAATTATTTGATGTAGTTAATTCAGTTATTCATAGCAGCACAGACTGAGATAATCATATGGCTTCAAGACACAAACACTACTTAAAGATTTCTTCTAGCATTATACAATCTATTCTTAGCACCCTATCACATACCTGTCATGGTGGAGCTTAAAATAGTAAATGACAGCCACAAAGATGATAATGCTCAGGAAACAAAGAATGATGGAGACATACAGGATAACCTTCCCGTTGCTGCTGCCTAAACACAGAGAATTAGTTTTAGTTATATCTTCTTTGCTATTTCAGTATGAGATTAAAGCTGCTTTAGTATATACACACTTTTTCAGTGTGCTCATAAAATAAATATAATCCCCTTAAGCAGAAGGGAAAGTCAGTAACAAAAGTTGTCTGAGAAACATAAATGGAGTCTGTGTCAGAGACAAAAGCAGATCCCACAAACCTCACAGCGCACACTCGTGATATTTTTTCACTAAGCCATACCTGAGCTCCTTTAAAGGAATCAGCATATATCGGTACTGAACTCATGTGTAGTTCTCAAAAGCAACAAAAATAGCAAAACCCAGAAACCAAATATCATTCAGTCAGACATTCGCAACTCAGAATGAAGTGATTTATTTGTTTCTGCTGGCCATGCAAGAGTTCGTTCTCTTTGTCTCTCTTACCATGCTCTGAGCAAGAGACTTCACATTTGCATCCAAAAATTTTGGATGGTGTTCTGTCTCCAAGTGATTATTTTAACACTAAGATCATGAGTGCTTTGGTGGTTTTTTTCCAACAATATCTCCACTACCAAAAGTATATACCAGAGTAATGCATATCCATCTTAAGAAAGAAACCATTAGGAAATAGTTTCTAGAACACAAGCTGGTGAAGTTTCTGGGCAAGGCAGTTGGGGATTGTACTCTTCTCTCTATGAGACTTCACTGAAGGTTTCTATACCTTTTACAGATTTTCCTTTCTAGAAGGAACAAAAGTTTGCATAGGAGACTAACCATGATTTTGAATGCTGAATACACAAAGAGAAGCTTACGTGGAGGACAGGCTATGGACGCACTCCAGTTCCCAGCTGGGTGGGACACAATGCAGGTTGCATTAGTCACTTTGGTGCTGTGTGCTGTGAACTTGCTCAAAACAGTCACTGTCCCATCGTCATGGCCTTCTTCATTGGGGGTGGAGTTGCTCTCTCGGACCCACGAGATCTGGGCAGCCGGTTTCCCTGCTGCTGCTTGGCACACGGGGTTCCCTTGGTCATCACAGGACAGGGTTGGCTTGGGAGGGACTGCAAAGCATCAGGAAGGGGAGATACACGGAGTTAGTTTGCCTCAGTTAGGACAGGACGTTCTGGTTCTCTACCCAAAATGAACGGAGCGAAAAGAGGAAAGTAAGGTTGGAGGTGTCATCCCATTACAGTGACATGGGCCAAAGTCACAAGAGACAAAAATCATGCCTCTTTTTTTCCTTTTGGACAACTCTAACCCGTTCAGGTGAGTTACCACAGCCAGGTATCGTTAAAGGAGGTTTCCCTGCACATTGGGGTAGGGAATTATCCCAAATGCAGGGCTGAATTAGACTTTTGTCCTAAGCAGCCATTGTACACATCATTTAAAATGTATCTTACTGTCCATTCTTACTGTCTGGATAAGAACATCAGTGTTCAGTACAATATCTCAGAACTTGGAAATGTTAGTCTCATGCTTTAGTTCTCTTAAATTAGTGTATTAACAATTGATTCTACAGGATAACCGGATGCGTATGCAGAACTCTCTGTTAGGGTGTTGGATATTGCTTCACACCTGCCATTTCTAACTAGACAGTGGAAAAGGAGACAGGAGAAGGAATAAGAGTTTTGGAGAATAAGGAGAAGGGAAACGTGGAGCTACTATCAATGAAATGCATGACAGTTTATCCCAGCAAGAGACCTCCACTTCTCACTTCTCACTGCATGATTTCGCTGGTGCATGGGGAGAGGCCCAGACACGGTCCTGGGGAGAACTGTGAAATGAGGAAGGAGTCCCTTACCCAGCACAGTCAGGTGGTGTGTCTCGTGGAAATTCCCTTCTGGTGCTACTACTTCACAGGTGTAATTTCCCTCATGGGCTATTTTCACTTGCCGTATCTCGAGGGTAGGATCCCGATCTGGTCTGAATTTCCAGTTCATGCTGTCACTGCAGTTTGTTCTGTCTGTCTTGTTCTGATCAGCCCTGTATCCCAGGGTGCAGGGTCCTCCAACCTTGGGACTTATTTTCCATGTTACCATAGTTATATTTGATTTCTGAGGGCAAGTGAACACGGAGCTGGAGAATTAGTTTTAGTTATATCTTCTTTGCTATTTCAGTATGAGATTAAAGCTGCTTTAGTATATACACACTTTTTCAGTGTGCTCATAAAATAAATATAATCCCCTTAAGCAGAAGGGAAAGTCAGTAACAAAAGTTGTCTGAGAAACATAAATGGAGTCTGTGTCAGAGACAAAAGCAGATCCCACAAACCTCACAGCGCACACTCGTGATATTTTTTCACTAAGCCATACCTGAGCTCCTTTAAAGGAATCAGCATATATCGGTACTGAACTCATGTGTAGTTCTCAAAAGCAACAAAAATAGCAAAACCCAGAAACCAAATATCATTCAGTCAGACATTCGCAACTCAGAATGAAGTGATTTATTTGTTTCTGCTGGCCATGCAAGAGTTCGTTCTCTTTGTCTCTCTTACCATGCTCTGAGCAAGAGACTTCACATTTGCATCCAAAAATTTTGGATGGTGTTCTGTCTCCAAGTGATTATTTTAACACTAAGATCATGAGTGCTTTGGTGGTTTTTTTCCAACAATATCTCCACTACCAAAAGTATATACCAGAGTAATGCATATCCATCTTAAGAAAGAAACCATTAGGAAATAGTTTCTAGAACACAAGCTGGTGAAGTTTCTGGGCAAGGCAGTTGGGGATTGTACTCTTCTCTCTATGAGACTTCACTGAAGGTTTCTATACCTTTTACAGATTTTCCTTTCTAGAAGGAACAAAAGTTTGCATAGGAGACTAACCATGATTTTGAATGCTGAATGCACAAAGAGGAGCTTACGTGGAGGACAGGCTATGGACGCACTCCAGTTCCCAGCTGGGTGGGACACAATGCAGGTTGCATTAGTCACTTTGGTGCTGTGTGCTGTGAACTTGCTCAAAACAGTCACTGTCCCATCGTCATGGCCTTCTTCATTGGGGGTGGAGTTGCTCTCTCGGACCCACGAGATCTGGGCAGCCGGTTTCCCTGCTGCTGCTTGGCACACGGGGTTCCCTTGGTCATCACAGGACAGGGTTGGCTTGGGAGGGACTGCAAAGCATCAGGAAGGGGAGATACACGGAGTTAGTTTGCCTCAGTTAGGACAGGACGTTCTGGTTCTCTACCCAAAATGAACGGAGCGAAAAGAGGAAAGTAAGGTTGGAGGTGTCATCCCATTACAGTGACATGGGCCAAAGTCACAAGAGACAAAAATCATGCCTCTTTTTTTCCTTTTGGACAACTCTAACCCGTTCAGGTGAGTTACCACAGCCAGGTATCGTTAAAGGAGGTTTCCCTGCACATTGGGGTAGGGAATTATCCCAAATGCAGGGCTGAATTAGACTTTTGTCCTAAGCAGCCATTGTACACATCATTTAAAATGTATCTTACTGTCCATTCTTACTGTCTGGATAAGAACATCAGTGTTCAGTACAATATCTCAGAACTTGGAAATGTTAGTCTCATGCTTTAGTTCTCTTAAATTAGTGTATTAACAATTGATTCTACAGGATAACCGGATGCGTATGCAGAACTCTCTGTTAGGGTGTTGGATATTGCTTCACACCTGCCATTTCTAACTAGACAGTGGAAAAGGAGACAGGAGAAGGAATAAGAGTTTTGGAGAATAAGGAGAAGGGAAACGTGGAGCTACTATCAATGAAATGCATGACAGTTTATCCCAGCAAGAGACCTCCACTTCTCACTTCTCACTGCATGATTTCGCTGGTGCATGGGGAGAGGCCCAGACACGGTCCTGGGGAGAACTGTGAAATGAGGAAGGAGTCCCTTACCCAGCACAGTCAGGTGGTGTGTCTCGTGGAAATTCCCTTCTGGTGCTACTACTTCACAGGTGTAATTTCCCTCATGGGCTATTTTCACTTGCCGTATCTCGAGGGTAGGATCCCGATCTGGTCTGAATTTCCAGTTCATGCTGTCACTGCAGTTTGTTCTGTCTGTCTTGTTCTGATCAGCCCTGTATCCCAGGGTGCAGGGTCCTCCAACCTTGGGACTTATTTTCCATGTTACCATAGTTATATTTGATTTCTGAGGGCAAGTGAACACGGAGCTGTTACCTACTGTTGCTGACAATCTGTAGTTCCCTGAAGGAGAGAAAGAAGAGAAAGTTCCCCAGGATGTCACTCATAGCCTTGAAGTTCTGGTCTGTGCTTCACAGAGAAATGCCTGCACCTGTTACATGCCAGGGTAAGGCCCTGCCTGTGCTCATCTGCTAATTGTCATCTGGTTTTACAGCTATGGATAATGGAGCCAGTGGCCTATCACAGCCTGCCCTCTCACTACCATCCACAAATTTCCCACTGGGGCTTATCTCAGTGGATAAGACAGATACTGGAGGAAGACCCTGCTCCTTAACTTAAGCAGTTCAGCATCTGAATAGTGTGTTCCTATTATCAAATCCTCCAGTGGATTGCCACTAACAGGCTGAAATAATAGAAATTTGACTATTGTGTTTGGTCACATGATAATTACTTTCCTCTGGGACGGTTGCCACCAAGGAAGTAAACGACTTTTACTTCTGCCTTCATACAAAATCCAGCACTGTGGGCAAAGGCCTTGTCTATGCCTCTCAGACGTGACCCCGACATAAGTAACAATGGTGTAGCTTTGTGTAGGAGGAAAAGTTTTTGCCTTATGTCTCAGGGGTGTCTTTACATTTTCTGAATCTTTGTGAACATATGCATTCACACTATGGGGGTACACAATGTGTACATATGCATTCACTCTGTGATCCTTGAACTATGTACTTGAAGGTAGATGTCTGTATGGAAAAGCTTCCACCTGTTCCTCTTGTCCTTTTTGGAAATTATCACATTGGCCATTGAAGGTTGGAGAGCCAGACCACTGTTACGGCTCCAAAGTGTGCTGTGTTTGTTCAACACAAGGCACATCCTCATGATTAGCCAACAAACTAATCTGCCTGGGTTTTCTTTTTCTGCAGGCTTTCAGGACTGATTATTTTTTGCACATTTTGAACAAGAGTCATGCTTGCTCTCTTTATATACCAGATTTGGGACCCCTCATCTGCCTGTGTCTTCAATTGACATATCCAAGGTGTGAAGTTTCTGACCCCAAGATTCATTTCAACTTGACCATTGAAGCCTCTCAACATGATGCCACCTTTGGGACAGTCAGTTCTTTTGCTTTATTTCAACTAGTCACATTGGGAGCTTTTCCTTAAAGTATTCTGTGGTGGGTTTTGTTTGCAGTAAGGGTACATGTGAGCAAGCAGTTAGAGATGAAAGAAAGGTTACCTGTAACTGTTCTTCAAGATGAGTTGCTTCTATGTGCATTAGTGTTGCTTACACTTACATACTCAGCCCACCCTCCTTCAAGAGAGAAAATGAGAGTCTGCAGCATGGTGGGAAATGTACGTGAGGGAATGGGACTTTTGTGTCCTTTGGGTCCTGCTGAAATTAAAAGCAAACAACCCCCAAATGCACAATGTATGTATGTGTATAAATAACCACCTGAAGAAGACCTGTTACAGATAAATAACCTTTCTTTTCCCAAATCTCCTACATGCAACGATTAATGAGGTAATAGGAATAAAGCCCATAGCTGCAATCCAAGCCAGTCTCCATTTACCACCTCACTAGTTTCCTTTTTTAAAAGGTGACCATTAAATTGTAAACCAGGAACTGTACACCATTGATCTCTGAGTGCTCTGTGTCTCTATGTCTCCGAGTTGCTCCTTCCTTGGTCTGAGTAATGATTTTAGCAACTTTCTGAGAGCTGTGTGTGAGGAGAAAATCAGAATACTATTTCAAACCATGAATTAATCTAGAAGGACAAGCAAAGTTAATCAATCTGATTTATACCAACGAATGAATGCTTGACAAATTATTCCAAAAATGTTGAACCATTCCCAAACCTTTCAAACAACAATTGAAAGTTCAGCTGGAATATCCAAAGAATTGGAAGACCTAAGTTTCGTGTGGTTAATCGAACCTTTGTCAAAGTCTTCCTCTGACGTACCAGACCTGACTTTGTTGTGTTTCTCTATCCCCTACCCAGAGCTGGATTTTTTTTGCCTCTGCTGGCTGGCACAATATGAAGGCCTGTTCCTGAACATTAACAACACTGTAAGGAATGGTCGTAATGAGCATCAGCTTCAAATTATTAGTCAAATCATTACTACTAACCTCTTTGAGAAAACTAAAGTTGGTTTTACCTTAAAAATATTGTCTGAAATCTCATTTTTTTTTCTAGAATCTAGGTGAATGAACTATTCCAGCTCAACCACTTTTCCTTCTCTTTAACCGTGTTCTGGGGAAATGATTTCTGACTTGCAAAATAACATCATTCGCTACGTTTTAACTACTTAAAGATCCCTTTAAAGATTTTTGCTTTTTTGTTCTAAGTGTCCTTTGGGTGAAGACATTTCCAAATCTAGACCTAGCTCCTGCAGATTGATAGAAGGTGTAGCTGCAATATTGCCCCACACCATACAGTGCTGTAACGTATTAGTTACTCCAACTGTACAACATGGAAATTAGAGTGTATTCTGATAAGTTTGGGGGTTTTTTGCTGGTAGGAAAAGAAAATTAGGTGGGGATAGTATTTCACTGAGGCCATCCAGTTCCCATTTTTATTAAACAAAGGCAATTATACTTAACTTCTTGCTGCTCAGTACTGCCAGGTTTCATTGATTTCTAAGTACAGCTGAAGAAGAAAAGTGCTATCTATTCACACCATTTTTTGATACACAAATTATTCACCAGCCCCACAAATGCTTGTTTACTCACTTCAAGTGTCCACAGTCTTTGGCGATACATTATTACAGTGGAAGTGTTTAAATGACAATTTTTTTCTGCTTAATGGAATTTCAAGCTAATGCAAAGTGTGTGTTTTGAACTCAGATGATTTTACCAGGAGAGGAAGTAAAAAAAGCCTTTTGTATCGTTTGTTTCTGGATGCGATTTCTGTGAATGTCTCTGAAAATTGGAGAACAAAGTGTTTCCTCTCCCAGTTTAGCTGACAAAAGCCTCAAGAGCTCAGTCATGTCATCAGAATGGCTGACCTCATCTGAAAATGACCAAGCAAACCTAAGCATTCAAAGAACCTGTATGCTAAAGCTGGGGTTTCTTTGGATAATATTTAGAAATGCTGTGCAGGAATGACAATGTTGTGCATATTTAGGTGTGTACACTCTCATTTACATAATAAAGCAGTATCATTCTACTTGTCTTTCAGCTCTGCATCTCCTAAGCAGCCTATTGCAATGTACAAGTTCCCCAACATAACAGTTCGTGTGCTTTAAGACTGTAAAGAACGAGGGAGTGAAAGTGGTGCTTTCTGCTATGCCTTTCTGTCATATTCTTCCTGTATGAATCGGTACCATTCACTTCAAATGATAAGCCACATCAATCAGCTTAAAATCTGCTGAATCACGTTGAAGTACAATGTTAGGTTTACAATACATTTGTAGAAGGATTCTTTACGGTCAGGGTGGCTGGTGCGACACTGGAACAGGTTGCCCAGCGAAGTTGTGGCTGCCCCATCCCTGGAAGTGTTCAAGGCCAGGCTGGATGGGACTTTGAGGAACCTGGTCTGGTGGAAGGTGTCCCTGCCCAGGGCAGGGGGGTTGGAACTAGATGATCTTTAAGGTCCCTTCCAAACCAAACCATTCTGTGACTCTATGATTCTATGAATTCCCTTGTGTCTTGTTGTGAGTTCAGAAGGCTTTTAGCAAAGCAAGATCTTTTCCCCAGACAGTAGATTAATTGGTAAAACATCTCCTTGTTTATCCAACTCTTACATGCAGTTTCCTACTATTGTGAAGAGGCCTTATAAACATACTAAAATTAAAGTGCTTTCACTTTATTATCCTCCATTGCTAGAGCGCAGATAAGTGGCATCAGTGAAAATATGAATTGTGTACTACTTCTTTGCTTCACTTCTTTTCTCAGGAATGATGCTAGAAACATTATCTTTATACTTCTTTTACAGAAGAAGAATGTATATGCCAAAAATCCTGAAAGGTTTGGTTAATTCGTATTTCTGAATTGACTTTGAAGTCCTCCTCTTAAGGTGGAACAGGGATTGTGTATTTATCTCTGTAGAACAGACGTATATTATTAGGAGGAGATTTTATCCTATATTATGACCCTGTTAGCATGTTAGCATTTTCCCAAGAACTGTCTAAAACTCTGACTGTCTTTGTGTTGAAGGCAGAGAAATAAACAAAATGGTAAGGGAGCAAGGCGTAACTGCAGAGCCTGCACCTATTTTGATCCTCTTCCAGTTCAATGTAAGATGGAAGCATGTTGTGATGGCAGAGTGCTCTGGGTACATGCTTGACTGAGTCCCAAAACCAGCATAGCCAGGTTGATAGTTCTGCTGGGCTCACTAGCCCTGCTTGCCAGCCACGTGGATGGTTATAACGCTTCCTTTTCTATAGATGCTCACTCACATTCTCACGTGGTGCAGAAATCTTCCAGCATGCTTGCTATTCTCCCAAGACAGCCTATGCAGAGAGAGAGCTCTGCTTCGTTTTGCCCCAGAGCATAGTACCAAGTTCAGATAATGTGATGTTTTGAACTGTGTGAGCTTAAATCTTGTCACTCACAAGCAAAATAGGCCTGGGCCTGGGTAATACCCAATGAGAAGCTTCCAAACCATACAGAATAGTGCCAGCCATTTTGATAACTGTCTCTAATGAAAAGATGATTTGCCTTTCTGTCTGTTTCAAGTGAAATACAGCCTAATGAGATGTCAAGACTTGCTGGTTTTTAGCACAAAGTTTGCTTTATTTAAAAGCAGTCCAAAATGTGTATTCTCAGGGATTGATCTGTAAAGAGCTATGGGACCCACCAGCACAAAGGCAGTTCTTTAAATAGAAATTATCCTGTCCCTCCTACCATAGCATTTCCTGCAATTTGGAGCTGTTGATAAGACCCCATGTTGGGCTGAAGTTGGATATGCCCTCCTTTCTTTTTCAAGTGAGCATACCAAAAGCCATCTAGTCTCTAAAAATATTTTTTATTAGAACAGACACCAATATGGTAGAAAGTGATAGCTCTTTAGGGAACACAGAATTGCTAGCTATACTCAAGAAAAAAAAAACTTGCGTTAAAATAAA